TTGCCCTGGGGTTGATACTGACACAAGAGGCAGAAGGGGTAGCTGGAGGGAGCATTTCTAGGGCAGTACATGACTTGTTACTACCGCTAGCAACCATGGGCGGATAATATTTTGCTGATTGATCGGTTTTGGTTTGAACAATTTCATATGTACGTAGCTTCAATAACAACGTAGAATCTCATCAAATGGTACTTCATTGTTTAAACATGTCAATAGTTATCTCCCTTTCCAAAATCATACGCACAGGCAATGTTAATCTGGTCAAATTCACCGGTAAATGAAACAGGTAACATTTAGTAGTTGCATTGAGTCGAACTTGAGTAGGAATTGAATTATAAACACATGCAACTCAAAATCTGTTTTGTTTGGCCTCATGTTATCTCACTGCCACTATCGTATGTAACATTTTTATGTACGTAAATGTATTTGTGTGAAAGCGACGCGTCATGGTTCCATGTAAGATGCCTATTTCAAAAAGAGAAATTAATACGAGATTAACGGTTAGAGATTCGTCGGCACGTGATTTGTACTCGACGTTGTATCAAAGTCATTCTTTCGGTTGATTTCACCGGAAATGAAATTGAAATCAACAAGAAGGATTATAAAAGAAATTGATTGAAATATGATTACATTTACCGACTTGTTTTTAATGTTTGGGATAATTTTGTTCGTATCAGAAAGGTGTTTCAACATACAAGTCGTTTGCACAGATACCGAGTTAGAATCAGAAACTGACAGTTTTTACAAGTCACGTTTTTTTCGTCGTGTATTTGATTAATCTATCAACGACCGCGAGGGGATACATTCCCTGTCCGGATAAAAGGTACGCATCATACCATTGAATTACTTTTTAAATGTCGATCACGTGTTTCCGGTTCAACGCACAACTTATGACGTCACGAATTTCTCTGGTTCTAGTCGATTATTCAAAAGCATGGTTAGCAAAAGGTGTCTTTAATTCAAATGTTTAAAGATAAATTGAGAAATTGATTGTTATTGACTTAGCTGACAATCATTTACTCTTGAACAGGCATGTTTGATAATCATAACATTTTGAAAAATATACACGAAATGTACTGCAATGTGTATCTTTTCGCGTTACGTCAATACAACAAGGCGCTGAACTAGTATGGCTGACGATATAATGTCTGTTTAAAGACAGGCTATAGCTTTGTTTCTGACTGTGACATGTGCAGGCACGGTAGTCTAATGAAAGGACGCCGGGCTCTTGACCAAAGGGTTGCGGGTTCGAGTCACGTCACTGCACTGTGGTGTATCTTGTTCCAGTCTACTCAACTATAAAGGGAAGCGCTAGAATTGTTGAATGCTAGCTGTGAGCGCCGAAATGGTAGCACCGGCTGTTTGCTCTCCAGGGAGTTAAGAAAGATATTGGCTGGTTCCAAAACCCTATCTGCTTTGAGACAAACTACGCATTAGGTAGTGACAACGCGGTATATATAACCGCGAATTATTATTTTTATTAGATGTCCCTGCTCTCAGGTACCTACACTGTTGTCCCTACAGTACACCAATCTCGGTGAAATATTCCTCCTTTTGTTTCCAATCTCATATAATATATAAGATTGTTTTTTTTTTGTGAATTCAACGGCTAAATGTCACAAAGTCTTTTCGAAAAATATAGAAACTTAGAATTAATTCTGTCTGTAGAGAAATCTTAATAAATAACACCTATGTACAAAAATACGACAAATGTATTTGTTAATGTTCGAATATATCCAAAAAGGCGATTTTGAAATTTTGTGTCATCGGCTTGTAGTTTTGGAAATCCGGATCAATTCTTATGGGTAGTTGTAACGTTGTTCAAAAGGAGTTGACTTCTGAGTAATGGCGGCTAAGATTTTTTAAAAACCTTTTTGTGTACACCAATAAAATACAAACACAAAGAACGTATAAAATAATGGCCACTTTACATCTGTCGTCATAGTAACACAACCATTCTCAGCTTCTGAATCAGATCCCGGCCGACTTTAATCCTTTTGTTTTGAAGCGCACAAAACCCAATAAAACGCCAAACAACGGCTGTTAAAACGATAAGTTGTCGAGGAGTCGATCGGAAAAGTATTTATTGACCTGACATGGGAACTGCTAAGTATCTTGTTTACATCATCGTTGGGAAACGTTCATCCGGATTATATTATATCAGTGCATTTAGTTGAATTTTTCCAATATTAAAATCTACCTCTCATTTCGAAATATTGTATGGCTTGACGTTAACGATAATTTTCAAATTTTTAATTTTCATAATGTTTACGCATTAAGTAAAAAGATTGAGTAAACGTTTAATATTTTTCCAGTTAATATAGTCATAATGCTCTTGCAGAAGTGACATTGCAGAAATCACTGAAACATAGACAACATAATGATTGAACCACTGAAGCATTGACTACGTGACACTTCAACTTTACAACAATAATAAAACAACATATATCTTTTTTTAAACAATCAATATTAATCACTCTTGCTTGCCGAGACGATAGCGCGTAGAGTGTCTTAATGTGGGTTGAAAACGGAGTACCAAGATAAACTACATGTGGTCGGACAGGTGACTCCATAAGTTTCACGTCCTATCGCGGAATCGAACCCTAGATGCCTTTGAGAAAGGCGAGTGCACTTTCAACTGCGCCACCAGACCGCCCACAATGCTCGAATCCCTGAGGCATGACATTTACTGCATGATGCTAGAATCACTCAGGCATGACATCGACATCATGACGCTAGAATTCCTGAGGCATGTCATCGACATCTTGACACTAGAATCACTGAGGCATGCTATCGACATCGTGACGCTAGAATCACCGAGGCATGACATTGGCATATTTACGTCCGAACCGCTGAGTCATGAAAACACCGTGAGGCTAGAGTCAATGAGGCATGACATCGACACCGTGGCGCTAGACTCACTGAGGCATGATATCGAAATCGTTACGATAGAATCACTGAGGCATGATATCGACATCTTTACGTTTTAATCTCTGAGGCATGATATCGACATCCCTACGTTCAATTCACTGAGGCATGACATCGAGATCGTGACGCTAGAATCACTGAGGCATGGCATTGACATCTTTACGTCCGAACCGCTGAGTCATGACAAACACCGTGACGCTAGAATCAATGAGGCATGACATCGACATCGTGACGCTAGATTCATTGACGCACGATATCGATATCTTTACGTTCGAATCGCTGAGGCATAACAGACAACTTGACGCTAGAATCACTGAGGCATGCAATTGACATCGTGCAGCTAGAATCCCTGAGGCATGACATTGACATCTTTACGTTCGAATCGCTGAGGCATGACATATATCTTCACGCTAGAATCACTGAGGCATGTTATCGACATTGTGACGCTCATATCACTGAGGCATGAAATCGACATCCTTACTTTCGAATCACTGAGGCATGGCAGACATATTGACGCTAGAAACACCGAGGCATTATATCGACATCGTGACGCGTGCATGCGTGTAGTGTATGCGTGTGTGTTTTGGGAGGCTGCGATATGTTCGTGCTTGTCTCCTTGTGATAGCGCGGATCTGATGCCGACTTTATAGTGCTACCTCACTGAAACATACTGCCGAAGACACCCAGCAGGACACCCCACCCGGTCACATTATACTGACCCAAATTGCTGAGCGTCAAGCAGGATTAGAAACTACCATTTGTACAGACTCTGGTATGTTTCGACCAGGGGACAGAACCCAAAGCCTTCCTCACAGGGGCGAACGCTCAACTAAAGGTCAAAAGTGAGGCATTGTCAAGAGAGACATTAGGAAAAAGGAAAGTTTTTAGAAAGAAGAGAAAAGATAAGATCCCAAATTTAGTCGCCTCTTATGATCATGCAATGGGGGTAGCAGGTACAATTCTTACGCCCTACCTACAGGGACCAAAAAGCTAGACATGTCATACACATTATAACACATCTCAGTTTCAATGTTTATAACATATCGAGCATATTATAATCCTGTTAAGTTCATTTATCGATTGGGGAGCTTGGTCTTGCTTTATAATCTGCTTAAATGTATGACCATATAATTAAACTATGTTCTAATAGCTTCGCATGACAATATCTAAATTTGAGTCTTTTTTGCCTCTCTCCAACCATATGGTAACAGAGCATTTAAGCCCCGTATAACCTATAGGTATATAAAAGAACTGAGATAATCTGTCATTTCATAACATAAAGTTGAATTACTTAAGTTACTGGCATGTTTTAAGTCTAGTCAACTATTTGTTTAAGATAACAGCCTTAATGGTTTATTATTGACTCCATTTACCTTGCTATGGGATGTTTTAATAGCTAATGAACAAGTTCAATATATCCAAACGATTATGTCCTCTTTTAGGGGGCTTGTTGAACCTTGATCCAGACGAAATTAAATTCACACAAAATGTTTGCTTGTAAACTACTTGAATCATTGAACCAAGTACATTGAAGACACAAAAAAATGGGATTATATCGCATTGGCAGTGTCTTCATCACCACGCCACCTGGTGTAAATAAGTTATCACAAAATTAAGGTTATCGCTCCTGATGATTTAAACTTTATAAAATTTCTGATTTGTGCCATCTGTTTGCTAGTACGTGTATAAAGGGTATCAGCGATGCATTTAACAGCATGGACCAGACTGATGACACCGCCTCTCATAATCGAGTAGCGAGGCGTTGAGAATCGATAGTGTTAAACAAATACTGTATTGTCATTTGTCGACAGGACAACAGTTAAGAACGACGATCTAGATATAATAATAACAACGTATTTTGAATTCTTGCTCCTGTAGAGTAATTTTCAGCAGTTGAGTTTTGTTGAATATTTTGAATATTTGGCAATAAAAATAAACATATGCCATACAGCCCGATCGACACCATGGACTCTAAATCTGTTACAGAGCGCCCACTGCTACTGTAGAGGTACTGCCAGGGATCGTCTGCTTACGTACGCGATCATGACGAACTTTGTACATACATGTACATAGTACGAGCCGAGAGGGAGCAATCTATAGGCGTCGTCTGTGGATCATTAATGTCCGGTATCTACCTGGAGGTAAACCATATACAGGTAGGTTTCTTTATCTAACAATTATATCTATGACTTCTGGATGTATGTTAATATAAATATGTTTCCATGCACGGGCGTTAATTGGTAGCTACAAAACTTGAATTTGTTATAGTTTCGGTGTTGTTTTTTTTATCTGAATTTGATTTCCGTTCTAAATGGATTTTAAACACTTTCCCGAAACATACTGTCATATATATAGATTTCAAGAACTTAACATTATTTTTCAAGATTTTAATAACTTTTATTAGTACGTCAGAATACTTTTTATGTATAATGAACATTGGCTAATAATTGCGCGTGTGCACATTTAAAATCATTTGGATCAGCCTAAATGTAATCAAAATAAGTTTACTTTATCATTAGTTTTTAAAGCAACTGTTTTTAAATCATAAAATGCAATGTAGTTGATGAATCAAAGTCACGTGGGTGTATTTAACAATTTTGTCTACGAAATAATAGCGTCGGAATAACTTAGCAACCGATATTGCCATCTGCCAAACATATAGCTGCTGTAAGGTTTACTTTGCTTCGGGTTTTATCGCCTTGCTACTTGTATTGGTATGGTCGAATAAACGCGGTACTATCGTAAAGGTCCTTGTTTTCAAATGATATACATTTATTACATAGCAGTCTGTAGAGTTAATTCAGCTGGGCCATCATGTAAATTACATTGCAGTGTTTGGTGTATATTTCCAATTACTTATTTCAATACCGAGGAAACTGTTTTGCCAATTTTAAGTCAGTGGAATGTGAAATTTCATGATGACATTTTGGTCATTTTGGTCTGTGCTATTTAAAACTGTAGATATTCATTTTGTCGTCTCGTTTGCTTCTGTGTCTCCATCTTTCACGTTTTGTCGTAACAACATATAAAATTACGAATTGGACAGGGACAGTAGAAATTATGTATTTGTTATAAATACTACACGTACAAGGCGTCTGTCCCTTCAGCTTCTTCATTATCTTCTTATCTCTAAAATATAGATTATTTTTAAAACCATTGCTACATACTATAATAGTTCATAATTTCAAAAGGTATATAATCGGAATTCAAGGGTTCTCTCTCGATATACACTATCCTCTTTTCACAAAAAAAAATAATCATGATAGAATATAAGTCTGAATGTTAGCGATTTGGTTGGTTAAAGACATTATAATTAGACCAATCGCATGGCTTATCGACACCAGTACGTACACTTGATAATTATCAAAGGAACACTCTGAGATCAAAAGTCAGTGATTTCACTGTTATATGTGTACATTGTTGTGAAATTCACATTTAACTAAGAATCAATTAAGCGTTACTCTGAGACAACAGTTAAGTATAATTATGTAACAGTTTCCAGATTTAAATCATATCATCCGCAAGGAGGCTTGTTTTTGGATTTCGATTCTGTCATGACCAATTTCAAAGTTGCATAGTAGACGTGTGGTATCGAGAGGGGATCTCTTGGATTTCGTAGATGCTGTAGCAGTTATAAGAAAGTGTTGCTTGCATAGTTTTTTACATTAAAGGATGTTTGATGGTATATACTTTTTGCATGTTGTAAAGATACTGCTTTGTTGAATTATACGAATTCAAAAACTAAAGGTTTTGGTTTGATTTGGTTTTCTAGGGTTAAAAATCCTATAAACTGCTCAAGTCATTTCAGGACATACCTCTATGTTTGTATGTTTGTTGTGTAAGAGTACATGTGTGTATGTGTAATGGAGACATGGTATATTAGTGTATTTGCTTCTTTGCGATAGCGCAGATCTGATGCCGACTTTATAGTGCTATCTCACTGAAACACCATGCCAAAATCACACAGTATCGATCCCATCCGGTCACATTATAAACCAGTAGTTGCCATATTGCAAAACACTATGAGGCCGTCGTCAATGGTTAACACATTCGTGTTACCGATATTTCTGGGGGCACGAAAGTGAATATAACTTTAATTACTTAGTAGATGACTTTCGTTGAATGTATGAAATTCTAGCACGCCGGTGATGTAACGACACTGTTCATTGGTCAATAACAGTGTACGCATTACTTTCCAACAAACCATGTACGAGCTAGAATCTGCCGAAGACAGTCCGCCTTTTGAAATATAGACAAGTGAGCAATCTGTGACCTGTCTAGGACGAATTTCAAAAATGGAGTTTTGTTTTAGGGTTCACGCATGCATGTACATATCTAAACGTTTCCACGTAGGTCCAGGTTAAACTGTAATAACATATGTCCAATCCTTTTCTACGTCAAACTGAGCTACTGACTCAACGTCCAGAAGTATGACATCAGCTTTGACATTGATTTGTTGGTGAAGAATTGTCTAGACAAATAATAACGCTCGGAAATTAACAGCCTAAACTAAATAACTGTATGACCTAGGTCACATTTTGTAAAAGACACTGTCTGAAATAGTACATACGCACGAGGGTGGTAGAATAAATATAATCAATATATGTTTGTACATTATCGCGCAAAATATATATTTTTAACTCGGAATTTGAAAATGTCGGAAACTACGTTACGCTGTGCGTTCATTATTTCTGCTAATACTTTCACACTTCTCGTTATTTATTCTACCATAATATGCATGCATGCATATCTATTTTTTCTTAACTACGGTATGATTTAACTAGTTTGTATTTCGTGTAAGATTTATCGAAAGAGCGTAGAAGTTTTCATTGTGTTAGACTGCAGAGATCCATTATCTAAAATCTAATTGAAAAAGGTTAAAACAAGTTCATCTCATAATCATGAATAATGAAAAAACAATAAATAGAGGATCTGACACGATTGTTCATGTAATATATAATTTATTGAACGAGTTTAATAAATTCAATATTACATGAACACGAGTGTCAAATTCTATTTATTACATAATTCGAGAAACACTCTTTTTCTTGACAGTCTCCTCTATTTAAATCGTACCGATGGCTGACGAAAGGACGCATTACATGTATTTTGTTTGGAGCTCGCAGCGTCACAAAACATAGTTTCAGAAACTTCTTCCCATGAAAGCACATTTTCAATGAACAAACAATCATTTACGTTTTCTACATTAACCAATGTTTTGATAATTATCATAACAACATTAATAATCATTTTTTATACGAAAACCATTCAACTAATTGGCGTTTACGAAAATAGCAGTGACGTCACATATTTGGCACAACGGCGCGTGCACTGTCAACGTAAAGGTCATCACAATATTAACAGGGAATGGAGTGATTGTCACTCTATATAACACAAGCGCATTACTTTGGAGAGTGTTGTTGGTGCATGTGAACCTCGATGTTTCCGCGTGTCACTGAGCCAGAAAATATACTGTGGAATCCGCCATGTAACTGGAACACTGATGGAGTTGACCGGTTACACGTGTTCGCCATTGATTCTGTGTATGTCGGAGAAGTTCAAGTGGTATTTGAACATGCAGGTGTTGAATTTGTGTGAAGCTAACACTCGTGTTTATATAATATTGAATTTATTAAACTCGTTTGTTAATTTTATTCTCCCAGTGCCCCTGCCTCTGCTATGAATGCAAACAGTAATTCGGTCAGCCATTTTGTTTACAAACGTAGAAGTTGTAGTGCGTAAGAATATGACCTGTTTCCCACGGTGACAATACTCATTTGCATGTTTATTATACGTGTGCTATATCGTTTTTATTGTACGGCAATATTGCACAGAAATAGCCTGTATTATATAATAAATACATGTACATATTTTCTTCAATGTGACGTCACAATGCCATGACGTTATGCATATTGCCTTAATTCCTGACATCACAATGGGGTAATACGTACTTTACGACATAACCTGATACTTATCTAATTGAGGTGTGTATTAATACAGTCAATTAAAATGTCTTATTTGATTGGGGGTTTTCAAGTAAAATATCATTTAACTTATTTAGAAACAAATAATAATTAAGATCTCTGAGGTTACGCATACTCTTGTTGATCCGAAAGGTACATTTAGCGTAAGGAAGGCCTCAATATTGCAGGACACATGAGTATACGGTAGATTACCCACATGGTCGGGCAAGTGACCCGATACCTTTTCACGTTCGAACGAGAAATCAAAGCCCGGCCCTGTCGGCGAACTATGAACGTCGAGTGCGCAATTCGATGCGCCCATCGACCGACCATACAGTAAAATTGTAAAATGAGTTGCAAGGCAGGCAAATATCAACATTGCTTGTTGCTGACGTCACAAATAAATGACCTTTATACGTCGTTGTGACCTTAGTGGACAAATTATATTGTTATGCATTCGGCACAAAATGTAATGCATAAGTATTAGTCACGGAAACATAAAACGTTGTATTTTGTTAAACCCGGGTCTTGAGGTATCCATTATTTAGCAATGAAATAAAATAGATAATGTGTTTTTTATACGAAAAAGACATCACTTCATATAGAGTATGGCGCCCTGCGCTTTATTAATCTGTTGCAGTCGAATCAAACAGGAGGAAGGCAATGGGTTCTGCCCCAAGGCCAGGACATACTAATGCCCTGAAATATGGTAGTTGTTGTACACTGCTTAACGTTCAGCATTTTGAGTAATGACAACTGGTTAACCCGTTGTCCGTATAATGTGACCGGGTGGAACACTGTGCAAGATGCTTTCAGCATGGTCATGGTATTTCAGTGCGGTAACTATCTGAAGCCGGCTAGTGCAAGGAGGTAAGTACAACCAACATACCACCTCCTGCACACAGTATACACACGTGCACGCAGACATAACACACATGGTGGCACGTCTTTAAACGACCTTACTTGTTAATAGGACACTAAACAAAACAAAACAAAAACCAAAAGTAGTCAAGTTGAAGGAGAAATATGTTTCGGACGTGCAAAGTATACAAAAGATACCGACCACATTTCGTAAAGATTTATATGGGTTGATAAGGTGAAATGTTATTGGTTGGTTTTCACGGTGAGTACTATTTCAAATGTATGGACATTTGGCCATTCACGGACGTCTACGAGGTTTGTGCGAGATCTGA